CGTCACAGAACATCACTTCCCTCTGTTGAAGTACACACACTCTTCCTCCTCAAATTCTATTTACCACCCAGCTGTGAGTTTTAGCCTCTTACAGTTTCTACCAGACTTGCTGAGTTTACATACCCAGCCCTTGGGAACCATCCTCTAAAATTAGCCCCATGTTTGCTACCTTCCCTGCTCTGTTCCTGCCATGCACTGAAGCAAAGGTTATCTGCTCAGTTAATGGTTAAGCAATGTTTTATATAAGTACTTTTACCCTTGGGTGAAAACCATCTGATCCTGGAGATTTATTACTGCTGTTTTCCTCTTTATTTTGAGCAGTAGAGGAAGCAATATCATTTACACATGTTACAGTCCCCCCTTGGCTCAGAGGAGTGAGTTGCAGAGCAAAGGAGAAAGAGAAGGCACAAAGCCCTTTATGCTAGTTCTTTTTACGCCAGGTAATCCAGACCAACTGTTATGTTGTAAGACCAGTTTAAGGTGAAAAAATGTTCCCCCTCCCTCCTCTGGAGGAGTCTTTCCCTTTCTCTCTTTCTCTTGTGTCCAACCTTCTCGTTCCCTCCTGCATATCTGGGACACATGAGAGGGGTTAGTAATTGCCAGGTGGGACAAGCCCGGTGGCTTTCCATCCTATGATCACCAGGGGACAGTACCAGGGCTCTGGGGAGGCTAGTCCCCATCCTGGAGTGGCCTTATAATTCTGAAACACAGACAGTCAGCTCTCGTTGCCTTTGTCGCAGCTGGTCCCTGGCACATGCAGGTCTGTGTCCACCAACAAGCCAGAGGTTTGGAGGAGACTCCCAACACCTTTTGGCTGGGCTAGCACCAGGGACAGCTGGGTGGGAAGAAAGATGGATGTAGGGATGTGCATACAGAAAAATACTGGAGTTAGAGAGTTTCCTCACTGAAACCTGACCCACCTATCAGCCCTTGGAAGATTTTCCATTTGCTTTCTGAACTCTGAGGCCTAAATGTCATATCATTTGCCCAGCCATAAATAGCTGAGAATTAAACAGACTGTGCTGCTTTTTGGCTAATAGATATGTCATCTAGTGCCGCAACTTTATCTTAAAATCCCACTGCTGTTTGCATTGGAGATCAGGACCTTAAGCTGTCCTTTTCTTTCCAAGTTTTAAAGTGCTGGCAGAACATTCATTCAGTTGTGCAACCTCCATTCAGAGGTTCTCAGGTCTTAGGCGTGGGGATAATTTTTTGCCCTTTGACAGCTGCTGTAAATCAATACAGCAGCTGGAGGTCACTTGTAGTCAATCAGTAACCAGTCCTGGCAGAGAGGAAAACACTAAATACTTGGTATTAAAACAGGCTCTAAACTGGATATTCTTGTTCAGGCTGACATTTTCACAGCTGTGACTTTAAAATCTGGCTCCATCCAGCCTCATTGGAGGTACAGCCTAGTCATGATCTTTTCCTGGTAATTATCCACAGGGAGAATTTCCCAGCACATGCACAAATTACAGCCAAATGGAGCACAAGGTGCTTCAGGTGGAGGAAGTGGGTCCTGTGGTGCAAGGTGCTCATTTGGTGCCAGCTGAATTAATCCTCCTTTTTCAGGAAATCATTATGTATTGGCTGAAGGTATGTATGACCTTCATCACAACCACCTCCCTCAGGAGGAATTCTTTCAGGGGTCCCTAATTTCTTTTAAAACAAGTGGAAACCCAGCTCTTAAATACCTTTGCTGTCTGAATCATATTCCAGTGGCGTCATCACCGCTGTGTGCTCCTCGTTCTGGAACTGGTTGCCCAAAAAATCTTCTGCCTGACCTCATCTGGAGCCCCTGCAATGAGAACATGCTCAATTGCCGCTTCCCTTTGAGCTCAGCAGCTCTTGGCGTTACGTGATGCAGCATCTGTCGCTGAGTAATCACCCAGCCAGCTCTCCGTGTGTGCAGCTCCTTGTACCCTGCCAGCTGTGTGGCACCAGCCCTGTGTGCACCAGCCCCACGTGCAATCTGTGTGCAGCAGCCACACACCATCCCTTTGCTGCTGCTGCTGTTTGTCCTGTTAACAGAGTGAGACAAAACCACCCTGACTCCTGGTGGGATCCAGGTGCTGCACGGTGTCCGTTCAGCTGCAGGGTTTGCAGATTTGGGGGTTGCAGTTCTCATCCTCATTCCAGGTTGGGAGTGAGGAAGGTGGGCACCTCATACTGGTTCAGGGCTATCAAGTATCCATCAGATCCATCCCTGATCCCTGGGGAACTTCTGCAGGTCTCAGACCCAGCCAATGTGGGTCTGTTCCCAGCTTCTTGGTTGGACTCGATCTTAGGAGGTATTTTCCAACCTTAATGATTCTATGATTCTCTGTTGCTTCCTGAGCCAGTGTCTGTGGGGAATGCTGTTTCCCTCCTGTCTGCATGTGAAGGAAAGCTTTGACATCAGGTCATTGGCCACAGCCATGTGGCTTTGGAGGTGGCATTAATGCCGCAGATCTTCCTTGGAGCCTGACACAGGCACTGGTGTGCCTTCTGAGCCCACAGCCATGCAGTGAAAGGACTCAAGGAAGCTTTTCCCTTTCTCTCTCCTCTCATACATTTTATATAAACTAAATACTAGCATTTCCTTCCAGCTTTCTGACAGCCTGAAAGACCCCACAGAGCAAGATGGAACCTGAGCTCATGAGCAACACAAAAGGGACTTCCTGGTGAGGAGCCACATGCACATGCCCATTAATCCTGAAAGATGGGCCAACATCCCTGCACTGGCCCCGTGCAGGGGCATCCCCAGGCTGCTGGACTGGTCAGGCTTGAATTTTAGGCTTCTTAAGGGTTTAATAAGAGGCTGAACTAAAATTCTAGCTTTGAATGGAGAGCTGAATTCTTCAAGGTCAGAAGGTGGAGAGGCTTGGGGTTGGGGTCAGTCCCATGCCACGGGGAGGTGTGGTGCTCCCAGCACTGCTAGGAACAGGATTTTTTCCTGGTGAGCAGGTGAGGGATGCCTGTGGCACTGCTCCTTCTGCCTCAGGGCACCTGTGATGGTTCTGTGCAGTGGGGCACAGCCAGGGGCACTCCGAGGGGCTCACAGGATCATGTCTGGAGGTTTGGGCAGGAGTTACATGAGAGTGGTTAGGGAGTTGGGCTGGTCTGTTCAGTGTCCATCTCACCCCACCGCATGGGAAAACTGACCCAGAGTGTCCCCCAGGATCTCCTGTGCAGGAAAACCCTTGCACACCAGGCCCACGTGTCCCAAGGGGGCTGGCAGACACTCCTTGCACAGCCCTGGCTCTCAGTGCCTCAGAGCACTTGCATGCTGCGTGTTTTAAGTGCCTGATGCCTTCCCAGGGGATCACCAGGACTTCACCAGGAGGGAAAGCCAATAAAGCACTTTTGAGCCAAGGTTTCAGCAATGCACTGTGCTGGCTAAAGCAGCAATGAATCCTCTGCTTTCTGCTCCCAGCTATGTTTGCATCCCAGCTCTTCTGAACAATCAGCTCCATGTCTCCCGAGACATTCCAACACTCCCGAGTCACTTCAGCACTCTCACACTTACAAAATCCCCTAACTTTAGGAATAAAAGGAGCCATACAAACCCTGTCTTTATTAAACCTTCATCCTCCAAAACCTTTGTGTCAGTATGGCAAGAACATTCCACTTCCTACAGGTTGCTCAAAAAATGGCAGATGAGCCTTGGGTCAGGGGTGGCTGCCACAGCCAGGGATGATCTTGTGGACATGCTGGCTGCTTCAGAGGGCAGCAGGGCTAGCATCTCCCTGATGTCTGCAGATAGGAGATGCAGCAGGGCTAGCATCTCCCATCTGCAGAAAACGGTCTCCACAAGAATATACACAAACATTATGGGCCTTTAATTGGATTTTTTTTTTCACATACACTTAGGAAAAGTACAACAAAAAACCCAGCAGGTATTTTCTTGGTCAGCAAAGCCTAGTCCAGACTCCTCTCTCTCCCTCCCACACATCTTCTTGTGAAATTACCCAAATAACTGGAGATTTACATCTGTTCCTGTTGCAGGAACATTTCAGAAATAAACCAAGCCCACATCACTGGGGGAGGAGCCCAGTTCTCCATCCTGCAGTGGTCTCTACCCATGGCTTGGCTGCTGATGCAGAGCATGGAATTAGGGGAAGCAGAGCTGAGCTCATATCCGATGCTGTTTCGCTCGCTGTGAGTTTTCCTCCCTGCAACAACCAAACACTCAACATGCACAGGCTTTGGGGGGGGGTGCAGATGTCCAACATCTGCCTGTTTAATCTCCTTCCCCAGCCTTGCCATACCTAGTCCCAACACAGGCCTGCAGCAGTGAACCCGCTGCCAGCCTCAGCCACCCTGCAGCGAGCCCGTTAGATGGCACCATGGGGCAGCACTGGCTGCACATTCCTGCCTCTCTTCCTCCCTTCCTTCTTTTCACCCAGACATGTCTTGACACTTCTACAGCCCTGAGCTGGCCCTTTGTGTAGGGCAGAAAGCTCTAAGCCCTGCTGGAGTCACTTGGCTGAGCCCACAGGGCAAGGAGCAGGGACAAGGCTCACTATGCCATGTTTGCCTCTCTTCCCTGCAATCACAGTCCTCAGCAAGGCAGGATGTTTCCATGATCAGCCTTTTCTTTATTTAAGGATTTTGTATAGGCAAATGTTACATTTTTTGGACACACAAATGTTAAAATGATTGATCCTATGCATACTCACCTGCTCCCACCCACAGCCTGTGCTGGCTGTCTTAGGGAATTCATTCATACACCTGTATACTGTGGCCTGGTGGAAAGTGTATTCTGAGGTTTGAAAGACTCTAAAAAGGCTCTAAAAGGGTGACATTGATAAAAGCCTTTAAATTGTCTGCTTTGTCTGCTTATGTTTGTGCAGTTCAGATTCAGGAGCTTTGTGTCTGCCTAATGCAGTTGGCAGACTATGTATCACATTTTCCTAGGTTGAATTTGGTTCTGACTTTGCTCTCTCATCCATAAAAGCAGAATTGTTACTGAAAATAAGCAATAAATTGCTGTGTATGCTCAGGTGTAAAGGCTTTTCAAAAGCAAGACAGCTGGCAGCACACTGCTGACTTGGCTTGGATTTTTTGTGATAGACAATATATTGATTGAAACTTAAATAGGGACGAGGGTGTTTGCTGACCTTGTTCTGGTGACAGAAATGTCATTTCAGGGTGAGATTGTGCCTTGAGCTTCTACAGGGACCTGTTGTCCTGGGCATAGGATCAAGGGAGTTTGTCCTTCAGTAAGGATTGCAATATAGGTAGTAGTTGTAATTTAAAAATGAGGTTTTTAAAAGGAAAAAAAAGGAAAATTGCAATTAAAAGAAAGAAAACTCATGCATAGGTTGGTTAAATGTGCACAATTGTAAGTAGAGACAATAATTTACAGACTTTTCTCTTGAAATATTAGTGCTGCTGTAAGAAGCCAAGCATGTTACTTACAACGACAAATCAGACTGAAACTGAGACAGATTAAATTGACATTATATATTTCTTAGCTGTGTAGCCAAACAAATGCTATGAATTCTGTCATTTATGATGGAAGCTAGATAAAAATTTTGTAATTAAGTGAGTCACCTAAATAGCACTCCTATATGGAGAAACTGATTTCAATGCAAGATTAATGGCCTTTTGCTGCTGGTTTACATGCCTGCCAAAGACCAAACTATGTTGTTGCTAAGCATCATTAATGGATTAAAATAGGGGTTCCACATAATTCCTACAGGGTATCTTCAAACAGTGTGTTTAGTTTGGCACTAGCCTAGCACTTGTTAGCCCTACTAATGGATCAGGGCAGCTCACACATGTGAGGGAGGTTAATGCAATCCCAGGAACTCTTTCAAAAGCTCACAGGTTTTCTTGTGGATGACTTCGCGGAGCTTGCGCACGCGCCGGATGCTGGAGGTGCCCACAAAGCTGTCTGGCTGCAGGATGGCCATGCCATTGTGGACATCCCCCATGATGATGAGCTGGCCATCCACTGTGGTCATGTTGGGACATGGGCAGCTCCAGTCCATGTTCAAAAGCGTGATTTCTAGTGGTTCCTTCCCCAGGAATTTTAATCCCATTTTGTCATCCTTGAGAATCTCCTCCACTGTCACCAGGGCGTGTCCTGAGTCTTGGTCTTCAGTCAGCTCCGTGATGCGGCCCAGGATGACAAAGTCACTTTTGCAGAAGCTGGTCACCAGCTTCTGGCGGGGCTTGCAGGCCTTGCAGTGAGTATTCTTCGGAAAGGGGCACATCTCCTCGCAGGCCTCCCGGCTCTCAAAGTTATTCTCATTGCCTCCACACCCGCCATAGATAAAGGACTGGCACTGCTTTGTCAAGCTGTTGTAGGCCCACCTAGGCTCGTAGGCCTTGCAGTGGCCTTGAAGGGCAGGCAGGTTGCAGATGTTGATGGGGCCGTTCATGCATGTTAGCATGCAACTCTCATAGGTCTCAAAGTGGTTGAGATTGCTGTTGCAGTTCCCATAGATGAAAGTAAAGCAGTTGTTTTTCTTGGCATCATAGTACCACCTGGTCTGCTCTTCCCCACAGTCTTCGCTGTCGGGCTGCTTCAGGCACTCATCGGTTGGAAAATGTGTTTTGTTCTGGGAAGTTTCCTTGGATGTGGGCTCTCCTCTGATGACTGACAAAGGGAAATCTGCCCGGAGGAGGCCACCAGTGTTCTGGGCAGTGCAGGTGTAGATTCCTGCATCCTGCAGCTGCGTATTGTAGATGACCAGCTGGGCAATGTTGGTGACCACGACATTCCCTCTGACGTGGTTTGGCTTCATGATGACTTTGTCCTTCCCATCGACCTGCTTCTCCCATGTGATTTCTGGCTTGGGTCTCCCTGAAACGTCGCAGAGGAAGCTGACGGTCTCTCCCACGTAGACGGACTGATGGACGGGGTTGTTCACCAGTGCAGGTGGCAGGATATCAATGACTGTTGTCTCGGAATAGGCAGTGGTAGGGCGAGCTGTTGTTTCTGGGGGGATAGGGCTGGTGTTTGGCCAGGTGAGATGGTACCTACAGGTGACCACGTTGAGTGTAATGCCTTTGATGCAGGCCTCTGCATCCATGTAGCACTTGTTGTAGTAGGTGAGTCCATCAGAGGCACAGGTAAAGCTTGGTTCTTTCTCACATCTGTCCTTGCACTTGCAGACGGGCTGCCCGTCCCAGATGTCGCACTCTGAGCCTTGCTGGATGCACATGAAGCGGTCACAGGTTGCCTCTTTGGGCATCCCCACAGGCCCCTTTTTCCCCTTGATGTCCATGTACCGAGCAGCCACACAGCTCTTGGTTCCACAGACATTGGGGCAGCACTTCTCAAAGGTCTCGCACTCCTGTGGGGAAGGAAAATAACCTGATCATTACTGGGAACAGAGTAAAGGCCTTTTTGGAGACTCAGCAAGCAGAGAGCTCAGAAACTCAGCTCTGCCACAGATATCCATGGTCTGAAACTCATTGCCCCAGCTGTCAGTGAGTAGAAACATCCCCTCAGCATTTCTCAGGGGGTTCTGAAGTGCTAAAGGAGAACACTCTTGAGAAGGAAAATGTATTTCTGTTTCTTAAGCACACACCTCCTCATAAGTCTTTACCCCAGAGTCACATGGATTGCTTGACTATGAACCAACCACCCCCTTCCATGCTTTCTGAAATGCCTGAGGACAAGCCCTGAGAAACACGAGCAGATGGAAAGTCTTATCATATGGCTGTAGGCAGTAATCCTTCTTATTTTCCACAGAAGTATGTAAAGTATTATTTGAATTCTCTGAGACTAACAGCCAGCTCTTGGAGGTGAAACTGCCAAGGATTTGTAATTGTTCACATTGTAGAGGAAATAATAGAATATCTCAAAAGTAAGGTAATACTTGCTCCAAAAATAGTTTTTCTATGGTATTTAAAAAAAGAAACCCCAAACAGCTCATTATGGCTTCTCTGTCCTATTTTAGTCTTATTTTCAAATGCAGCATCGCTCTTCTAGTGATTTATTACATCCCGCCTTGGCTACAGCCAGCTCTTAAATTGTGGTTAATTTTAGCAGAATTTTCATCTTCTGTGCAGAAAAGGTATTTGATACATGTGACCAGGGTTGCTGGGTGGTTATAGATTACTTCAAGGGACCAGGAAAACTGCTCCCATGTGCCCAACAGGGCACACTACCACCATGTAAAAGCCCCCTAAAATCCATTAGCTTTCTTCATAAGTGAGAACAAAATGGTTTTTAAGCTACCAAGCTAAAGAGCTTCTCTTGAGTTCAGTATCCTTTCCTTACTGGGAAAAAGATGATCTAATATCAAAAGTCTTTCCCATTTCCAGCTGCACATTACTGGGTTTCAAAAGCAAAGCTAGAAACCAGGATTGTGGAGGTTTTCAGCTGGGGTTAAGGAGTGTGGCTTGGCAGAGTCCTTGGTTGCCTGGAGTACACTCACTCTATCCAAAGTCCCAGGACTCTGTGCTGCCACTAAGCAAAATGAATATTTGTAACCAGTGACTTCTGGCTTTCAGGTTTTGACCAGTAAATTATTAAAACATCATCATCTGCTACTGCTGCTGCTGCTGCTGGGGCTTTGAAAGTGTTTCACTGTTCATTGCTGCACCTGGTAGTCGGGACAGAGGCAGCTTATTTGGGAATGGCAAAAGTAAAAAGAGCACCTTCATTCCTAACACATGGGATCCATCTGAGTAAATGTCTTTGTTTACTTATAGCCAGAATTTTTGTCAGTTTCCCCCCACTTTTTAACATTGCAGAAACAACCTGGCTACAGAGCACAAACCCAAACACTTTTTTTCAGCACAGTAAATGTTCTGTCAGCCAGGTTTGGGCTGCAGAAGCTTTGTCATGGGACATGATGTAAGAATTAAGACTAGCAGGTATTTTCAGATGCCGGCTTGAGCTGGCAGTGCTGACAGGTTGAAAAATGAATTTTAGGGTGGTAAGCTAAACAAATTTTCAGCTGGGAGCATCCCACAGAACATCTGCCTGGTCATTTTAGCCATGCCCTGTTCTGCACCCCAAGTAAGCTTTGTGCTTCAAATGTAGCAAAGGCTGATAACTTAAATGTTAAATCAAACTATTTTATACAGGATTCCTCCCAGGAATATAAAACATTGATGATGGCCACCAACAACAAAGAGGATAATTACACTGTTAAAATACTACAATTGGCCCCAGGGCATGCTGAGTTCTGGAGTATCAAATTCAGATATTTCTTTTGACATGAAAACAAGGAAAAGGATCAAAGAGAGTGAATGCTGTACCCACACCAGCAAAAGTGACAGCTGGCACACACCTCCCCTCTTAACTGATAACTCATCAAACCTTTTCTACGTTATATAGGTCACAGGTCAGTTCAATACATGCACTGTCTGCGCTGGGTCCTGCCCAGTGCCAGTGCCCTGGGACAGAAGGCTCCCACCAAACACCCCGACAGCCCCAGCAGCAGCCGTGACGCAGAGACACAAAAATGAGCATCACTCACCAGGTCAGCGTCGCACTCCCTCTTGCAAGTGCTCTGTGCGTCGACCCACAGGTTGGGGTTCATGTCATTGGGGCATATTCCAGCGTGGGAGTACCGGATTGGAGGTAGGGCTCTCCCTTTCAGAGAGACCTCCAGAAGCAGGAGGACACTGCTCTTCCCTAGCAAGATCCACATCCACCGAGTGAACAGCACCAACAACATCTCAGAATTTCTCCAGGGCAGTGTCTAAGTTGGAAGTAGCTCTTTTTTGCTCGGGGTTGCCTTTTTTTTTTTTTTTTTTTTTTTTTTTTTTTTTTTGGTAAGCCTTAAGTTTTTGAGGAACTCAGATGCACCTGACTTTGGTAAAAACTTCAGCAAGCTCCTCTGCTGCCTCTGTCGACAGTGCAGTTTGGTCTGGACCTCATTGGATTAAAGGTCCTAGAAAGTCACCCCCTTATTTTAAGAGAAACGCTACTTGTGCGAGCAGAGTTAGCTCTATTTATACCCTGCCTCTGTTAACAACTCAGAAAAAGTAAACTTGATTTCTTTGACAGGCACACGCTTCCTATGTCCTGGTGGCAGTCAGACAGATTTGTTGCAAGAAAAAAAAGCTGGAAAGAGTTCAAAAGGCTGGAACTGGCATGGTGGGACCCCTGCATGTTTCTGAATGCAGGGAGGCCTTCTTAACCCCTTTAGACCTAAAGTACTTCCCTATGCTAAGAATGGCATTTACTTCTGAAAGGAGACTTGTCTAAGTAACAGGGACCGCAGTCAGGGGATTTCCCCACGGCAAGGGGCTACACAATCACTTGCTAAAAGAAACAAATAATAGGATTGAAGCAATTAAAGCCAGAATATCATATTTTAACAAAGGAAGTAGGGAAGAAATAACTTATTTAAACTTAGGATCAACAAAGCAGAATGTCTTCGTAACTTCTCCTGGGGCTCCTCTGGGCTTTTTCTTCTCTTTGGTTCGGAGATTTCCATGATGCTAAGTTTAATGCTGCCTTCCAGTCCCACCAGGAAGATGTTAAAAGTGTCCCTGAATTCCTCCACATTTTCTGACAGCCAGATCCCATTGTACAGTGCATTGCTGACCCCTTTAACAGCAACAACAAAAAATAGAAGTTCAACTCTATGGAAACCTGCATAAAGGAATGTACAGCATTTTTGCATTGGGGGGTGGGAAGGAAACTCAGTCAAGCTGAGTTCCTCATTCCCTGACTATTAGAGCAAGGGGCTGATCCTGCTTGTGCTGAACATGTGCCAAAATCCTGAGATAAGCGGCAGAAGTCTGAGCTGCTCAGCACCTTCCAGGATTAGGGCCTCTTGGCCGAGTTTTGGGCTAGCTTGGGTGGATCCTGCATGTTGCTAAGAGCCTCCTGGGACAATCAAGTAAGTTTGCATCCCATGTGGGGTTCTGCAGGGCTGGACCAGCAGCACTGTGCCTGGGTAGGAGGAAAGGTTGTGCATCCACTCCATGTCCAGTGCTGAGAGCTGCAAAGCCAGTCAGAGTCAGCCCTTACTTTTTTCCATTGGGCTTATAAATCCAGGGCTGTTTTTCATGGCTGAGTTTGGACTTTATTCTCCCCTGAGCAATGATGGCTGCCAAGCAGCACAACCAGCAGTGAACTGGGTCACCATGGGGCTCCTGCTCTTCCCCTGGGGCCGGACAGCAGAGCACAGTGACCCGCTGGTGTTTCCCAGGATCACCTGCGGGAGAAAGGGAAATACAACCAGGGAGGGCAGCCTGGAGCCAATTGCCCCGGGCTGTGGCATTTCTGCAGCAGCCCAGGCTCATAAAAGGGACTGTTGTAGCTCTGATTTGTGTTCCTGCATTAACCATATGCACAGTATTTGAATTTCATGGGACGTGCAGAGCAAAGTTGTCCAAATTAGCTACTTATAAGGAGCAAAGTCAATGGTCAGGCAGCAGTTTGCAGTTGATTTATTCACTCTGAAACTTTAGAAACCTGCATGACACTTGTACAAAGTGTGGCTGTGCACTAAATGTTTTATTCAGTACTTGTTTACAAACTCAGCACCCTGTGATGCCTAAAAAATCCAACCAAAAATGACACATTCCCAAGAGATACTTAAAATTCTTGCAGCTCTATTAACAACAAAATCACATGTATTAGTGGTTCTGCTGACTAAACAAAGACACTTTATATTGTAAAACTGACTACAGATAAGCTTTGAAACCAGCTGTACGTGGGTCTTGAGGAGTGCAGGTGTCCAGGGTGCTGGGGAAGCTGCCTTGTTGATCTCAATCCATTGCATTGCCACAGAGTAGCCATGGATGGGATTTTTCCCTGTGAGCTTTAATCTTTTATGGCTGTTTTACACCTTACCTGCTGGGCCACAGGTGGATCTTACAGTCTCCATCTCCTCTCCTAGTGCCAGACAGCCATGTCCTTGCTAGCTTTGGTGAGTGAGAGACACACTAATGTGGGCCACCATAGGTAGAACTCTGCTCCAAACAGGAAAAAACAGCACTATCTTATTTTTAACTGTCCCTGACCAGGGATCCCTTGCCCAGTGGCACATTTCAGCTGTGGGGAAGCAGAGTGGGGCTCTGAAAAATCAGATACTCATTTGCATCAGACAGGCAGAGCAGTCTTCTGCTTTGCTATGTCCTTCTCCACCCATAGGGATATTCTCCAGTGACAGGTTAAGTCCCATTGCAGTTTTCTGCTTTCAGCTCTGAGGGATTGTGTTCCTGGATCAGTCCCTTGGCCACTTGAGCTCAGCCAGGAGAGAAGAAAACATTGCCATAAATCTCCCTGTGAAAGTAGGCAGACAGCTCCAGAAGGCAAGAGAAGCAGTGAGGGGCCCAAACAACCCCTGACAGCTGCCCTGTTCCTGCCAGGACATCCCAG